GTGGAAATAGGGCTTTTAATACTAGATTGTTCATATATGACTAAATACAGAAGACTTGTAGTCATGGTAACGACCACAAACGTCTCGATCCATTAGACTTAGACTTTATTGATCCACAAGGATAACTGTGTTGTCACAGTAACTCACATAGTATTTCACAATAACAAATAAAGTTATAGTAATAATCTGAAAATAAGAATAGTTTTTGTCACATTATATAATAAACAACATTCATAAACAGCAGAAGTATGACAGCACTGCAAACCTACCAATACCAGGCCGTCCTAGAACCACATCCCCGAGCTTTAAAGCACTAAAGACTACACGTAGACGTACTTGGTGATGTCGTCGAACACGCCGTAGCCCGTCTTCTTGTCGTTGACCCACTGTCCGATGAAGACGCTGGGGGAGGAGGTGTTGAGTTTGCCGGTGCGGAGCATACCGTGACCGTGGCGCACGCCGCTCTGGAAGGAGCCCTCGTACACCTCCCCACCGGCGTATCTGAGGAGTCACCTGTTAGGTTTTATTATTGTGTGTCCTGTATGTGTGTCCTGTGTGTGTCCTGTATGTGTGTGTGTCCTGTGTGTGTGTGAGTGTCCTGTGTGTGTGTGTGTCCTGTGTGTGTGTCCTGTGTGTGTGTGTGTCCTGTATGTGTGTGTGTCCTGTGTGTGTGTCCTGTGTGTGTGTCCTGTGTGTGTGTCCTGTGTGTGTGTGAGTGTCCTGTGTGTGTGTGTGTCCTGTGTGTGTGTGTGTCCTGTGTGTGTGTCCTGTGTGTGTGTGTCCTGTGTGTGTGTCCTGTGTGTGTGTGTGTGTCCTGTGTGTGTGTGTCTGTGTGTGTGTGTCCTGTGTGTGTGTGTGAGTGTCCTGTGTGTGTGTGTCCTGTGTGTGTGTGTCCTGTGTGTGTGTCCTGTGTGTGTGTGTGTGTCCTGTGTGTGTGTGAGTGTCCTGTGTGTGTGTGTGTCCTGTGTGTGTGTGAGTGTCCTGTGTGTGTGTGTGTGTCCTGTGTGTGTGTGAGTGTCCTGTGTGTGTGTGTGTGTGTCTGTGTGTGTGTGTGTGTCCTGTGTGTGTGTGTGTCCTGTGTGTGTGTGTGTGTGTCCTGTATGTGTGTGTGTGTCCTGTATGTGTGTGTGTGTGTCCTGTATGTGTGTCCTGTGTGTGTGTGTGTCCTGTATGTGTGTGTGTGTCCTGTGTGTGTGTGAGTGTCCTGTGTGTGTGTGTGTCCTGTGTGTGTGTCCTGTGTGTGTGTGAGTGTCCTGTATGTGTGTCCTGTGTGTGTGTGTGTGTCCTGTATGTGTGTGTGTCCTGTGTGTGTCCTGTATGTGTGTGTGTCCTGTGTGTGTGTGTCTGTGTGTGTGTGTGTGTCCTGTGTGTGTGTCCTGTGTGTGTGTGAGTGTCCTGTATGTGTGTCCTGTGTGTGTGTGTGTCCTGTATGTGTGTGTGTCCTGTGTGTGTGTGTCCTGTATGTGTGTGTGTCCTGTGTGTGTGTGTCCTGTATGTGTGTGTGTCTCTGTGTGTGTCTGTGTGTGTGTATGTGCGTGCATGTGCACTTGTTTTCAACTCCTGGTGGGTTCCATAACCTGAGATTCCACTCACGTCATGGGGACTGGTTTTACGTGGTGGGGCCCGAACACCGGACCCCACTGGTCCAAGCTTAATAATCAATGGGTAATGCTTTTCTAACGGTCCTTATGCAGTCTCTGTAAAAATATGGAAAGGACCCCTGGAGGTTTACTTTCCTGAAAAAAGTGTGTTATGTGTCGGAACCCTGGTGGTGGGTTGCGGGATATCAAGGAGGGGCACACTGGGGCAATTTCAGTCCAGCAGGCTGGAGCCAATCATGGAGCAGCACAACAGAGGCTGGAGCCAATCATGGAGCAGCCCAACAGAGGCTGGAGCCAATCATGGAGCAGCCCAACAGAGGAAATCAGGTGTCAGGCTAGAAAAAGGTGCAAGTGTGTGGTTCATTAGGCTGCAGCCAATCACAGAGCAGCACAACAGAGGCTGGAGCCAATCACAGAGCAGCACACTGAAGCGCACGCTTACAAACCACTGGTAAGTGCTGACTACAAGTCATGACTTCAAATTGTTATATAGAATGATTACAAATTATTTGTTGTTTGTGCAGCTTAGTCAAGAGTCCCTAATTGATGAAGTCGACTCAGATTCTGACGATTTAACTGTCAAGAAGAAACCTGTAAAAAAGTATGGAAAAAGAAAAATCAAAAACACTTTTCTTTAAGACTCGGAAAGTGACGAACCAAAGGCAAATAAGATTGTTATCATGCAGCTGCAAAAGAAGAAAAATGGGGGGCGAGTTTACAGCAAGAGACACTTCTGCCTCTACTGTTCAATGTCCTGCCACAAAATGTCCCGTCATTTGACTAGAAAACATGGAAATGAAAGTGACGTAGCCAGAGCATTGGCTCTACCTGTGAAATCTAAAGCACGTAAACTTCAGTTTGATTTGATCAGGAATAGTGGAAACCGTGAGCACAATTTTGAGGTTTTAAAGGCCGGCATTGGAACTTTAGTCCCAGCTAAACAGCCAAATTCCCCAGTTAAATCCAGTGAGTTTTTGCACTGTATAGACTGTGGGGCATTGCTTAAGCGAAAGTCGCTGTGTGAGGCATGTGGCCAGGTGCCGGCTTTCACAGAAAGATGCCCAGGCTAAACCAGGCTAAACCAGGTAGAAGTAGGGTCCAGTCCCTCTGCTCCCTAGCCCAGCCTGTACCGGAGGGCATCAGCAAAAAGCTGTGGTCTTTAATTTCGGCAATGCATCAGGATGAGGTCACGGGTGTTGTCAAAGCAGAAAAGGGGATTCTGAGACTCGGAGAGCACCTGTACTTAAAACACGGGCATGATAAGACTAAGCATGATTACATTAGGCAGAAAATGAGAGAAGTCGGTAGGTTAATTAACGAAGCAAAAACCGCAGGGAAACTGAAAACAATTAAGGATTTCTTTATTCCTTCCAACTTTAACCATGTGATTGATGCAGTCAGGTCTGTGGCTGGATATGATGAGGAAACAAATCAATACAAGACTCCATCCTTGGCCCTCAAACTCGGCCATAGCCTCAGAAAGCTAGCAGATATTCTTGAATGTGACTCAAAAATGGAGCATTGTGTTGATGAACTATTTATTAAAAACCTCCAACGAAGCCGGCTGCTTTTTGAGAAGAGGTGGGACGTCTGTGTTTCTTCTGCTGCCCTACAGACCCTCCGGCAAGCCAAGTGGAACACTCCGGACCTGCTCCCTCTGACTGAGGACGTTAGAGCCATGCATGCACATATTGAGGTATGTCGACCTGAATATGTGCAAACCCTAATAAGTGAGCCAACGTCTAAGCATTGGTCTAAACTGGCAGTTTTGACTCTTTGTGAGGTCATCATTTTCAATCGAAGAAGGGAAGGTGAGGTTTCAAAGATGCCACTGACAGCCTTTACCTTAAGAAGTAAGACTGGGATCCATTCTGACATTGCTCTGGGACTGTCCCAACTTGAGAAAAAGCTGTGTCAGCATTTTCAACGCATTGAAATTAAAGGGAAAAGAAGTGGGAAAGTGGTGGTTCTTTTGACTCCTGAAATGATTGCTTGGATGGAGGTGCTGGTGGAGAACAGAAGGGCCTGTTCCATCTCTGACCATAACCCATACTTCTTTTCCCGCCCGGGCGCAGACACCCACATCAGGGGATCAGACTCCCTACGCCAGGTAGCCAAAGAATGTGGTGCGGTGCATCCAGAGATGCTATCCTCAACCAAACTTAGAAAGCACATAGCTACTATGTCTACAGTTCTCAATATGAAAGAGAATGAGATGGACATACTTGCCAACTTCCTCGGCCATGACATTCGCATCCACAGGCAATATTACAGACTACCAGAGGGGACACTGGAGCTGGCCAAAATCAGCAAAGTGTTGATGGCCATGGAGCAGGGAAGAGTGACGGAATTCGAAGGAAAGAGCCTCGACCAGATACAAATTGAGCCTGAAGGTAATTCTTGATATTATTAAAATATGTATGATTTTTTTCCCCTAAAGGCCACTTGTATTTTTATTTTCTGTGCGACAGGGAGAGCAGTAGAGATCCTCTCACAAACGGACGGGCTAAAAGAAACTTCAAGCGGAGAACCTTCAACCATTCATCCAGATGCACCCCATGGTAGTGGCAGTGCCCCTTCTGGTAAGTGTACCAGGTGGGGGATTACAGCCAGGCTGCTTGGTCCTAACCCTGGGAGTGTATATTGCTAATATATTTTTATTTCTCTCCCTAGAACGTTAGAGAAAGCCATGGTCTGCATCTGAGGTGAAGGCTGTGGAGAAGACCATGACACCTTTCATACAGACTGGAAAGGTCCCTGGGAAGTCTCACTGCCTGGCCTGCATTAATGCCTCACCAGATGACCTTAGACATCGGACATGGAGTGGCATTAAATTCTATGTCAAAAATAGAATCACTGCAATTCGAAAACAAAATCTAAAATAAAATTCCTTTAAAATAGTTGTTTGGTTTCTATTGACTGTTTTGTATTACTTAAAGTCTTGGTAAAAAAAGATTATGTCTATGGGTCCCATTCTGAACGGCCCTGTCAAAGGGACCCACCAGGTAACAAAAACGTGTATGTGTGTGTGTGTGTGTGTGTGTGTCCTGTGTGTGTGTGTGTGTCCTGTGTGTGTGTGAGTGTCCTGTGTGTGTGTGTCCTGTGTGTGTGTCCTGTATGTGTGTGTGAGTGTCCTGTGTGTGTGTGTGAGTGTCCTGTGTGTGTGTGTCCTGTGTGTGTGTCCTGTGTGTGTGTGTGTCCTGTGTGTGTGTCCTGTGTGAGTGTCCTGTGTGTGTGTGTGTCCTGTATGTGTGTCCTGTGTGTGTGTGAGTGTCCTGTGTGTGTGTGTGTCCTGTATGTGTGTGTGTCCTGTGTGTGTGTGTCCTGTGTGTGTGTGTCCTGTGTGTGTGTCCTGTGTGTGTCCTGTGTGTGTGTGTGTGTCCTGTGTGTGTGTGTCCTGTGTGTGTGTGAGTGTCCTGTGTGTGTGTGTCCTGTGTGTGTGTCCTGTGTGTGTGTGTCCTGTGTGTGTGTGTGTCCTGTGTGTGTGTCCTGTGTGTGTGTGTGTCCTGTGTGTGTGTGTGAGTGTCCTGTGTGTGTGTGTCCTGTGTGTGTGTGTCCTGTGTGTCCTGTGTGTGTGTGTGTGTGTCCTGTGTGTGTGTGAGTGTCCTGTGTGTGTGTGTCCTGTGTGTGTGTGAGTGTCCTGTGTGTGTGTGTCCTGTGTGTGTGTCCTGTGTGTGTGTGTCCTGTGTGTGTCCGGTGTGTGTGTGTGAGTGTCCTGTGTGTGTCCAGTGTGTGTGTGAGTGTCCTGTGTGTGTGTGAGTGTACTGTGTGTGTGTCCTGTGTGTGTGTGAGTGTCCTGTGTGTGTCCTGTGTGTGTGTGAGTGTCCTGTGTGTGTCCTGTGTGTGTGTGAGTGTCCTGTGTGTGTGTGAGTGTCCTGTGTGTGTGTGAGTGTCCTGTGTGTGAGTGTCCTGTGTGTGTGTGTGAGTGTCCTGTGTGTGTGTGTGTGTGTGAGTGTCCTGTGTGTGTCCGGTATGTGTGTCCTGTGTGTGTGTGTGAGTGTCCTGTGTGTGTGTGTGTGTGAGTGTCCTGTGTGTGTCCGGTGTGTGAGTGTCCTGTGTGTGTGTGTGTGTCCTGTGTGTGTGTGAGTGTACTGTGTGTGTGTGTGTGTCCTGTGTGTGTGTGAGTGTCCTGTGTGTGTGTGTGTGTGAGTGTCCTGTGTGTGTCCTGTGTGTGTGTGTCCGGTGTGTGTGTCCTGTGTGTGTGTGTCCTGTGTGTGTGTCCTGTATGTGTGTGTGTGTGTGTCCGGTGTGTGTGTGTCCTGTGTGTGTCCTGTATGTGTGTCCTGTGTGTGTGTAGTGTGTGCTTTTGTTTGCTCCATTGTGTGTCTTGTTATGGTGGGTCATTTGAATGAAAAGCCTCTGTATGAAGTGAGTAACTAAACAGCTGCAGCTGCACCTGTACGTCCCCACACACCTGTACGTCCCCACACACACCTGTACGTCCCCACACACCTGTACGTCCCCACATACACCTGTACGTCCCCACACACCTGTACGTCCCCACACACACCTGTACGTCCCCACACACCTGTACGTCCCCACACACCTGTACGTCCCCACACACCTGTACGTCCCCACACACACCTGTACGTCCCCACACACCTGTACGTCCCCACACACCTGTACGTCCCCACACACACCTGTACGTCCCCACACACCTGTACGTCCCCACACACCTGTACGTCCCCACACACCTGTACGTCCCCACACACCTGTACGTCCCCACACACCTGTACGTCCCCACACACCTGTACGTCCCCACAAACACCTGTACGTCCCCACACACCTGTACGTCCCCACACACCTGTACGTCCCCACACACCTGTACGTCCCCACACACCTGTACGTCCCCACACACCTGTACGTCCCCACACACCTGTACGTCCCCACACACCTGTACGTCCCCACACACCTGTACGTCCCCACACACCTGTACGTCCCCACACACTTACCCCACTGTACGTCCCCACACACTGTACGTCCCCACATACACCTGTACGTCCCCACACACCTGTACGTCCCCACACACCTGTACGTCCCCACACACCTGTACGTCCCCACACACCTGTACGTCCCCACACACCTGTACGTCCCCACACACCTGTACGTCCCCACACACCTGTACGTCCCCACACACCTGTACGTCCCCACACACCTGTACGTCCCCACACACCTGTACGTCCCCACACACCTGTACGTCCCCACACACCTGTACGTCCCCACACGTACGCCCCACACCTGTACGTCCCCACACACCTGTACGTCCCCACACACCTGTACGTCCCCACACACCTGTACGTCCCCACACACCTGTACGTCCCCACACACCTGTACGTCCCCACACACCTGTACGTCCCCACACACCTGTACGTCCCCACACACCTGTACGTCCCCACACACACCTGTACGTCCCCACACACACCTGTACGTCCCCACACACACCTGTACGTCCCCACACACCTGTACGTCCCCACACACCTGTACGTCCCCACACACACCTGTACGTCCCCACACACCTGTACGTCCCCACACACCTGTACGTCCCCACACACCTGTACGTCCCCACACACCTGTACGTCCCCACACACCTGTACGTCCCCACACACCTGTACGTCCCCACACACCTGTACGTCCCCACACACCTGTACGTCCCCACACACCTGTACGTCCCCACACACCTGTACGTCCCCACACACCTGTACGTCCCCACACACCTGTACGTCCCCACACACCTGTACGTCCCCACACACCTGTACGTCCCCACACACCTGTACGTCCCCACACACCTGTACGTCCCCACACACCTGTACGTCCCCACACACCTGTACGTCCCCACACACCTGTACGTCCCCACACACCTGTACGTCCCCACACACCTGTACGTCCCCACACACCTGTACGTCCCCACACACCCTGTACGTCCCCACACACCTGTACGTCCCCACACACCTGTACGTCCCCACACACCTGTACGTCCCCACACACCTGTACGTCCCCACACACCTGTACGTCCCCACACACCTGTACGTCCCCACACACCTGTACGTCCCCACACACCTGTACGTCCCCACACACCTGTACGTCCCCACACACCTGTACGTCCCCACACACCTGTACGTCCCCACACACCTGTACGTCCCCACACACCTGTACGTCCCCACACACCTGTACGTCCCCACACACCTGTACGTCCCCACACACCTGTACGTCCCCACACACCTGTACGTCCCCACACACCTGTACGTCCCCACACACCTGTACGTCCCCACACACCTGTACGTCCCCACACACCTGTACGTCCCCACACACCTGTACGTCCCCACACACCTGTACGTCCCCACACACCTGTACGTCCCCACACACCTGTACGTCCCCACACACCTGTACGTCCCCACACACCTGTACGTCCCCACACACCTGTACGTCCCCACACACCTGTACGTCCCCACACACCTGTACGTCCCCACACACCTGTACGTCCCCACACACCTGTACGTCCCCACACACCTGTACGTCCCCACACACCTGTACGTCCCCACACACCTGTACGTCCCCACACACCTGTACGTCCCCACACACCTGTACGTCCCCACACACCTGTACGTCCCCACACACCTGTACGTCCCCACACACCTGTACGTCCCCACACACCTGTACGTCCCCACACACCTGTACGTCCCCACACACACTGTACGTCCCCACACACCTGTACGTCCCCACACACCTGTACGTCCCCACACACCTGTACGTCCCCACACACCTGTACGTCCCCACACACCTGTACGTCCCCACACACCTGTACGTCCCCACACACCTGTACGTCCCCACACACCTGTACGTCCCCACACACCTGTACGTCCCCACACACCTGTACGTCCCCACACACCTGTACGTCCCCACACACCTGTACGTCCCCACACACCTGTACGTCCCCACACACCTGTACGTCCCCACACACCTGTACGTCCCCACACACCTGTACGTCCCCACACACCTGTACGTCCCCACACACCTGTACGTCCCCACACACCTGTACGTCCCCACACACCTGTACGTCCCCACACACCTGTACGTCCCCACACACCTGTACGTCCCCACACACACCTGTACGTCCCCACACACCTGTACGTCCCCACACACCTGTACGTCCCCACACACCTGTACGTCCCCACACACCTGTACGTCCCCACACACCTGTACGTCCCCACACACCTGTACGTCCCCACACACCTGTACGTCCCCACACCGTGCATCTTCCCGTCCTTCCACTGGCCTTGGTAGAAGTCTCTCTTTTGAAGGGCCTTGTTTGGAGCCAGGAATTCTCCATAACTGTATCACAACAGAAAATACAGTAAACAACAAAAGATCAACCAATCAGCAAATCGTAGCTCACAGGGACTTTCTCATTAAAACAGCCAGAAAGGATAAACCAAAGTTAGACACCCCACGTTAAAGCTGCATTACCTGACTTTATTTTGTATTCATTACAAAAATCCAATCCATGTCCATGCAGTCTCCCTCGAATAAGAAGCACAGGTTTGTGCTGAAGTCACTTTGTTTAGATCGAGTTTTTGTGAAACAAGGAAAATAATATGTTTTGGGTCCAGATTGTGACCAATCACAGCGGACCACTGGCCCCCACTTTCTTGAGAAAAGCCACAGGTCTGTGGTTAGCACGGACAGGTCTGAGGTTAGCACGGACAGGTCTGAGGTTAGCACGGACAGGTCTGTGGTTAGCACGGACAGGTCTGTGGTTAGCACGGACAGGTCTGTGGTTAGCACGGACAGGTCTGTGGTTAGCACAGACAGGTCTGAGGTTAGCACAGACAGGTCTGAGGTTAGCACGGACAGGTCTGTGGTTAGCACGGACAGGTCTGTGGTTAGCACAGACAGGTCTGAGGTTAGCACAGACAGGTCTGAGGTTAGCACGGACAGGTCTGTGGTTAGCACGGACAGGTCTGTGGTTAGCACAGACAGGTCTGTGGTTAGCACGGACAGGTCTGTGGTTAGCACAGACAGGTCTGTGGTTAGCACCGACAGGTCTGAGGTTAGCACGGACAGGTCTGTGGTTAGCACGGACAGGTCTGAGGTTAGCACAGACAGGTCTGAGGTTAGCACAGACAGGTCTGAGGTTAGCACGGACAGGTCTGTGGTTAGCACAGACAGGTCTGAGGTTAGCACGGACAGGTCTGTGGTTAGCACGGACAGGTCTGTGGTTAGCACAGACAGGTCTGAGGTTAGCACAGACAGGTCTGAGGTTAGCACAGACAGGTCTGAGGTTAGCACGGACAGGTCTGTGGTTAGCACGGACAGGTCTGTGGTTAGCACGGACAGGTCTGAGGTTAGCACAGACAGGTCTGTGGTTAGCACAGACAGGTCTGAGGTTAGCACAGACAGGTCTGTGGTTAGCACAGACAGTTGTGGTTAGCACAGACAGGTCTGAGGTTAGCACAGACAGTTGTGGTTAGCACAGACAGTTGTGGTTAGCACAGACAGGTCTGAGGTTAGCACAGACAGGTCTGAGGTTAGCACAGACAGGTCTGAGGTTAGCACAGACAGGTCTGAGGTTAGCACAGACAGCTGAGGTAAACAAGCGGCGGAGGCTAACCTGAAACTTCTGTGTCTTTGTTACTGCTTACTCAGAGAAACAGACAAAAGAAAGTCTGGTTCCTCTGCACTTCCTGGTTCTATCGTTCTATGGTCACGCCACGTTCACATGTGTCCATGTGAGACGTGAGCTCCTTAAACAGTGAGTGTGGGGTAGTGGGGGGCGGGGAGGCAAGGCAAGTTTATTTATATAGCACAATTCATACACAAAGTGCAAGTGCTGAACAAAACAAGAAAGCATTAAAATCATAAATAATCACAGAACATTAAAAAGAAAGATACAAATATAAAATCCCTCAGTTGTAGCACAGTTAAACAGAACTGTCTTTAACCTGGTTTTAAACATTGTCAGAGAGGAGGCCTGTCTCACATCCTCAGGAAGACTGTTCCAGATTTTAGCAGCATGAATCTGAAAAGCAGCCTCCCCATGTTTAGTTCTGACTCTGGGCACTAACAGGAGTCCAGTCCCTGTGCTCCTCAGAGTCCCAGCAGGAGTCCAGTCCCTGTGCTCCTCAGAGTCCCAGCAGGAGTCCAGTCCCTGTGCTCCTCAGAGTCCCAGCAGGAGTCCAGTCCCTGTGCTCCTCAGAGTCCCAGCAGGAGTCCAGTCCCTGTGCTCCTCAGAGTCCCAGCAGGAGTCCAGTCCCTGTGCTCCAGAGTCCCAGCAGGAGTCCAGTCCCTGTGCTCCAGAGTCCCAGCAGGAGGCCAGTCCCTGTGCTCCTCAGAGTCCCAGCAGGAGGCCAGTCCCTGTGCTCCTCAGAGTCCCAGCAGGAGTCCAGTCCCTGTGCTCCTCAGAGTCCCAGCAGGAGTCCAGTCCCTGTGCTCCTCAGAGTCCCAGCAGGAGGCCAGTCCCTGTGCTCCTCAGAGTCCCAGCAGGAGGCCAGTCCCTGTGCTCCTCAGAGTCCCAGCAGGAGTCCAGTCCCTGTGCTCCTCAGAGTCCCAGCAGGAGTCCAGTCCCTGTGCTCCAGAGTCCCAGCAGGAGTCCAGTCCCTGTGCTCCTCAGAGTCCCAGCAGGAGGCCAGTCCCTGTGCTCCTCAGAGTCCCAGCAGGAGTCCAGTCCCTGTGCTCCTCAGAGTCCCAGCAGGAGGCCAGTCCCTGTGCTCCTCAGAGTCCCAGCAGGAGGCCAGTCCCTGTGCTCCTCAGAGTCCCAGCAGGAGTCCAGTCCCTGTGCTCCTCAGAGTCCCAGCAGGAGTCCAGTCCCTGTGCTCCTCAGAGTCCCAGCAGGAGTCCAGTCCCTGTGCTCCTCAGAGTCCCAGCAGGAGTCCAGTCCCTGTGCTCCTCAGAGGCCCAGCAGGAGTCCAGTCCCTGTGCTCCTCAGAGTCCCAGCAGGAGTCCAGTCCCTGTGCTCCTCAGAGTCCCAGCAGGAGGCCAGTCCCTGTGCTCCTCAGAGTCCCAGCAGGAGTCCAGTCCCTGTGCTCCTCAGAGTCCCAGCAGGAGTCCAGTCCCTGTGCTCCTCAGAGTCCCAGCAGGAGTCCAGTCCCTGTGCTCAGAGTCCCAGCAGGAGTCCAGTCCCTGTGCTCCTCAGAGTCCCAGCAGGAGTCCAGTCCCTGTGCTCCTCAGAGTCCCAGCAGGAGTCCAGTCCCTGTGCTCCAGAGTCCCAGCAGGAGGCCAGTCCCTGTGCTCCTCAGAGTCCCAGCAGGAGGCCAGTCCCTGTGCTCCTCAGAGTCCCAGCAGGAGTCCAGTCCCTGTGCTCCTCAGAGTCCCAGCAGGAGGCCAGTCCCTGTGCTCCTCAGAGTCCCAGCAGGAGGCCAGTCCCTGTGCTCCTCAGAGTCCCAGCAGGAGTCCAGTCCCTGTGCTCCTCAGAGTCCCAGCAGGAGTCCAGTCCCTGTGCTCCAGAGTCCCAGCAGGAGTCCAGTCCCTGTGCTCCTCAGAGTCCCAGCAGGAGGCCAGTCCCTGTGCTCCTCAGAGTCCCAGCAGGAGTCCAGTCCCTGTGCTCCTCAGAGTCCCAGCAGGAGGCCAGTCCCTGTGCTCCTCAGAGTCCCAGCAGGAGGCCAGTCCCTGTGCTCCTCAGAGTCCCAGCAGGAGTCCAGTCCCTGTGCTCCTCAGAGTCCCAGCAGGAGTCCAGTCCCTGTGCTCCTCAGAGTCCCAGCAGGAGTCCAGTCCCTGTGCTCCTCAGAGTCCCAGCAGGAGTCCAGTCCCTGTGCTCCTCAGAGGCCCAGCAGGAGTCCAGTCCCTGTGCTCCTCAGAGTCCCAGCAGGAGTCCAGTCCCTGTGCTCCAGAGTCCCAGCAGGAGTCCAGTCCCTGTGCTCCTCAGAGTCCCAGCAGGAGGCCAGTCCCTGTGCTCCTCAGAGTCCCAGCAGGAGTCCAGTCCCTGTGCTCCTCAGAGTCCCAGCAGGAGGCCAGTCCCTGTGCTCCTCAGAGTCCCAGCAGGAGGCCAGTCCCTGTGCTCCTCAGAGTCCCAGCAGGAGTCCAGTCCCTGTGCTCCTCAGAGTCCCAGCAGGAGTCCAGTCCCTGTGCTCCTCAGAGTCCCAGCAGGAGTCCAGTCCCTGTGCTCCTCAGAGTCCCAGCAGGAGTCCAGTCCCTGTGCTCCTCAGAGGCCCAGCAGGAGTCCAGTCCCTGTGCTCCTCAGAGTCCCAGCAGGAGTCCAGTCCCTGTGCTCCTCAGAGTCCCAGCAGGAGGCCAGTCCCTGTGCTCCTCAGAGTCCCAGCAGGAGGCCGGTCCCTGTGCTCCTCAGAGTCCCAGCAGGAGGCCAGTCCCTGTGCTCCTCAGAGTCCCAGCAGGAGTCCAGTCCCTGTGCTCCTCAGAGTCCCAGCAGGAGTCCAGTCCCTGTGCTCCTCAGAGTCCCAGCAGGAGGCCAGTCCCTGTGCTCCTCAGAGTCCCAGCAGGAGTCCAGTCCCTGTGCTCCTCAGAGTCCCAGCAGGAGGCCAGTCCCTGTGCTCCTCAGAGTCCCAGCAGGAGTCCAGTCCCTGTGCTCCTCAGAGTCCCAGCAGGAGTCCAGTCCCTGTGCTCCTCAGAGTCCCAGCAGGAGTTCAGTCCCTGTGCTCCTCAGAGTCCCAGCAGGAGGCCAGTCCCTGTGCTCCTCAGAGTCCCAGCAGGAGGCCAGTCCCTGTGCTCCTCAGAGTCCCAGCAGGAGTTCAGTCCCTGTGCTCCTCAGAGTCCCAGCAGGAGTCCAGTCCCTGTGCTCCTCAGAGTCCCAGCAGGAGTCCAGTCCCTGTGCTCCTCAGAGTCCCAGCAGGAGGCCAGTCCCTGTGCTCCTCAGAGTCCCAGCAGGAGTCCAGTCCCTGTGCTCCTCAGAGTCCCAGCAGGAGTCCAGTCCCTGTGCTCCTCAGAGTCCCAGCAGGAGTTCTGTCCCTGTGCTCCTCAGAGTCCCAGCAGGAGTCCAGTCCCTGTGCTCCTCAGAGTCCCAGCAGGAGTCCAGTCCCTGTGCTCCTCAGAGTCCCAGCAGGAGTCCAGTCCCTGTGCTCCTCAGAGTCCCAGCAGGAGTCCAGTCCCTGTGCTCCTCAGAGTCCCAGCAGGAGTCCAGTCCCTGTGCTCCTCAGAGTCCCAGCAGGAGGCCAGTCCCTGTGCTCCTCAGAGTCCCAGCAGGAGTCCAGTCCCTGTGCTCCTCAGAGTCCCAGCAGGAGGCCAGTCCCTGTGCTCCTCAGAGTCCCAGCAGGAGGCCAGTCCCTGTGCTCCTCAGAGTCCCAGCAGGAGTCCAGTCCCTGTGCTCCTCAGAGTCCCAGCAGGAGGCCAGTCCCTGTGCTCCTCAGAGGCCCAGCAGGAGGTCCAGTCCCTGTGCTCCTCAGAGTCCCAGCAGGAGGCCAGTCCCTGTGCTCCTCAGAGTCCCAGCAGGAGGCCAGTCCCTGTGCTCCTCAGAGTCCCCAGAGTCCGCCTGCACATAGCCCCCCTGGAGGTCCAGGCCTTCCCCACACCTAACCTTAACCCCCATGGAGACCCAGGCCCTCCCCAGACCTAACCCTAACCGGTCTGGAGGTCCTGGTAGCCCCCACACATGAACATAGCCCCCCTGGAGAACCAGGCCTTTCCCACCCCTCAGCCTACAAATCAGCCTAAGTGTTTTGCCAAAAAACCTAAGTGTCTATGCTGTAGTACTGGGCTCGCTGTGGCCGAGTGGCAAAGGCGATGGAATGGGGAGTCATTGAGGTCCTCCCACGCAGGTTCGAATCCTGCCCACAGCACTTAGAATTATTTTCACATTTGCTTGGAGCACCAGGCCTGTGATGGCTCTATTTCAAGCCGTACTTCAGGGCTTTTTTCGGGGTTAAAACCTCCGAGGACCCCCCCTGGGTCTCAGGCTTTCCAGTGCTGCATTTATGTCCGGATTTCTAAGCTTTTTTCGGGGATAGAACCTCCACAGAATCCCCTCGGTTCTGGGACCCGCATGGCCCTATTTTAAGCCGGATTTAAGGGCTTTTTTCGGGGTTAAAACCTCAGAGGACCCCCCTGGGTCTCAGGCTTTCCAGTGCAGCATTTATGTCCGGATTTCTGTCCGGATTTCTAAGCTTTTTTCGGGGATAGAACCTCCACAGAATCCCCGGTTCTGGGACCCGCATGGCCCTATTTTAAGCCGGATTTAAGGGCTTTTTTCGGGGTTAAAACCTCCGAGGACCCCCTGGGTCTCTGGCTTTCCAGTGCTGCATTTATGTCCGGATTTCTAAGCTTTTTTCGGGGATAGAACCTCCACAGAATCCCCCCGGTTCTGGGACCCGCATGGCCCTATTTTAAGCCGGATTTAAGGGCTTTTTTCGGGGTTAAAACCTCCAGGGACTCCCCTTGGTTCTGGGACCTGTCATTGCTCTTTTTCAAGACAAATTTCATGCGCTCTCTCCCGGGGAGAAATGCGCCCACCCTTATT